CTCTAAATTTAAAAATTTCCTCGGGCCTTCGGCCCTCGCCACACCCTTATCAAAAAGAACTTTCTACGAAACTGCATGCTTCTGTAATATGTCTGTGAGTAAAATATGAGTATTTTTGTTTGTAAATTGCGTTTTCATTTTCATTTTCCGGATAGCAAACACCTTCGTGACTTCGTATGCCATGAAATATTCGGAAATTTCTTTCGTCATTCGGAAATTTTTGGCCTACACCCCCCTAACTATGCATGCTTAGCTACGGCCCTGAGGCTCTCTAAAAGGGATTTTCGTGCAATGTGCGATAACATTCTATAGAATTCTGAAGATTACAGTACACACTAATTACAAAAAGATAAGTACCATTCACTTCATCATCCAAGCTCATAAAGAGATCTTTGGTGAGACTTTGTTCATCTGATGAACCTGAAGTCAGGGCCGTAGGAAGCTCTTTTTGATTGGGGGATGAAAGCGAGGGCCGAAGGCCCAAGGAAATTGTTTAATTTAGAGTCTTTGAAATGCCATTTCCTGGACTTTGGGGAAGATTTGACAGAATTCTGATAGTCAGAAAACAGCGTTTTTAGTATGTCGAAATTTACCGATTTTATTAGTACTAAATGGGCGAATGCGTATTTAATTAACTATATATCAATAAGTTGCAGGAAAGTATGGGTAATACCTTCATTCTTTGCAGTTTGTCACGGATTAAATGATAAAGGTCTGCATGATTTTGAAAAAAGAATGATTATGGCCCTGTGAAGTATAATATTAGTGCACGCACGTTCGATAATTTCGCAGCTATCATTTCAATTTCATTCAAATTATTCTCATTCAGAATGTTTTGATCAATACTGTCAAGTGTCAAGACGAATTTTTAGTTCAGTTCTTCTGCTCAGTGCCTGATTTTCGTGTTAACAACTTTTCACAGGAAATTTTATCACTGCACATTTTACATTTTATCACTGCACATTTTAGTTTTATCACTGCACAAATTGGTTATCACTGCACACTAAAATTAGGTATGGTAGCCTATGGCCTTACTTGAACGACAACCAAAAGTGAAAATTATAATCTACAAAACATAAGAACCAAAAGTATAATCCATAAAACATAAGAACCAAAAGTCCAAAAGTATAATCTATAAAAGCTTTTTAATATTTTAAGAACCAAATCTTTTAAGTATCATTTTAAGGACCAAAGTACAATCTATAAAAGCTTTTTAATCTTTATAAAAGCTCATGTAATTTTCCCAACCCCCGCTATAACTTCCCGACGTAGGGCCTTCGCTCGAAACGTCGAATTTCTTATTGTATTTTTCAAATAGTTGATTTCCCTTCAAACAAAACCAAAAGTATACCAATCCGCTGTGCTACTAAAGGCAATCTCAGATCCAGAAAGGCAATCTCAGATCCACAAAGGCAGTCTCGGGTCCAGAAAGTCAGTCTCAGGTCCACAAAGGCAGTCTCGGGTCCAGAAAGGCAGTCTCAGGTCCACAAAGTGAAAAGTATTGTAAGTGTAATTTATATACCTTGATAAACCAAAAACAAATTTCTTAAAACGTAGTTTTTCATGTCCTGGAATAGCCTACCACTAGAAATCGTCGATAAATACGGCGATTTATCAATTATTATTCATTTAAAAGACTTATCAATCATAAGGATTAATAAATTTGTGAATTTATTATTGTAAATTAATGTAAATAGTATTTATTAGGTAATTTGATTATGTAGTGTATTGTATTTTAGTTGTTGCACGGCTCTTTGAAAACCAGGGAACTGAAAGATCATCGTGTATGCAAATAAGTTTAAATAATAATAATAATAATTTAAAAGCATTTGGCTTCTAGAAGCCCTCTCGCCACGTATGTTAATAATGTCTTATATATGTTTGTTATAATGTTTTATTTTGTATTCGTAAATTGTGGCTAATAAAGTTTGATTAAGTCAGTAAGTGTGTGTTTTACACTTCACAAAATATTGTAAATTATTGGCCGACGCTGGACTGCAAGGATAAAGATTTTAATTCTGAATCTGTTTTTACCAATAGCCCTAGGGAGGACTTACGCGACAACTACAGAAATGTGGAAATTCATGGACGTTCCATGTTTTGTTGTGAAAGTTGGGTGCAACTACAAAGCCTCCATAAGATGATAAACCCTTATACTAGGTATATGGCTCTTGACGAAGGATCAGCGTGGCTGGGACTATAGTGGGGTTGTTTTCATGATGCACTTTGAAACAATGGGCATATCCTGATGTGGTTTATCCAAATATGAGAATCTGTAAGTGTAAAAGGAAACGTGTGGAACTTTTTCAAGCGCGATTGATGATGCTGTTGTTGGTCTACCAGCCACTTTTGTCTTTTCATTTTTTGTTTTTTGTTTTCAGAAACGTATTTGGATCAATAATGCGTACAATATATTATCAAAGCTAAGAATAATAGTTACATAAGAATTAATAACTTATAAATCGAAAATCCAAAAAGGCAAGATACGAACGGGACTCTTGAAAAAGGATCCATGCAAGGCACCTGCCAGCAATTTAGATCTTATGTACTTAAATGTTAAACATGTATTATGTTGTATACTAAAAATTCTCAAATGAAAGAACGAATTAAGAAAGAGAAAGTATGATAGGAAGTATAGAGAGAATAAGACATGCAGGCAAAAACACAAATAAGACAGACATAGAACAGATACACTGACAGAGGAGGTAAACAGACAGATCGACAAACAGGTAGATGGGTGGATGGGCGGACAGATTGACCTAGCTAATGGTTCTTGGTATTTAAATTAGAAATTGTGAAGAGCATGTGCAAAATCTGAAACTGGTGTTCAACAAGAACAATGCCTCCGACTTAAAGTTCAATCCCAAAAAGTATGTGTTTTGTGGTCAACACGTAAAGTATCTGGGGAACGTGGTCGGAATCAAGGATGACGTCACTGGTTGTGCTTAAGATGGTAAGGAAAATAAGAAAGTCTGATATCTAAGAAAATATTTTGGAATGTTTATGTGGTTGTCATAGTAACACACTAGTTACCAGGTCTCTCACTTCTTATTTTAGAAATGTCTCTTGTTGAAATTTTTGAACAAAGGTTTTATTTATGGATGCTTTCATCTTTCATATAACTAATGCGAAACAAGAACCCCATTGGCATTGACTGACAGCACTTTTCTCCCTAGATGATTAAAATTGTCTGGCACAGAGTGATTAGACAGAGTAAAATAATAAAGTAGTGTGCCTCAGTGCGCATTGCAGAGGCACATTGCCATTTAGAGAGTTAATGGGTTAATAATCTTTACTTTTAAAACAGTTAAACTTTACTAACTATCTTGAATATGTGTTTTGTATTAATTTTGTTCTCATGTGTAACTAATAGCAATCTCACTTTTTTATGTTTGTAAATATATGTGTAGTATTATGGGGGCCGTATGTTACAAAACTATTATGGTTAATATGTTTGCTTTCCTGAAATAAATTTTTTACAAGATTGCTATCACTACAATTACAGAGCATCTTCGACTCAGGTTATTTACACCAAAATGCAAGTATTTTGTATTTGTTCAGGTGAGCGGCAAAATACTTCTACTGAAAAAAATATATGATATGAAAAAAATTAAAATATGAAAAAAAGTTGGGAAAAAACCTTCCCACTAATTAAATTAACTAACCATTTTGCTGCTTCCCATTATAATAATATATAACATAGAAATTGTTTCAAGAAATCAACAACATTGCGATAACATCATTGTGCATACTGTGCTACAGTTTATATATAATCAATTTGCATGACTCAACTATAATCCATGCTTTCCATGCCATTTACCACTTGTGGATGAGTAACATTGTAAAGCAGCAAAATACTTCTGCCAACAAAATATGAGGAAAATCAATTCCAGACAAATATAAATTTGAAGGGAAAGAACCTTCCCGTTAATTAAATTAACTATCTATGCAGGGTGCAATAATTCATGACTTTTAGCTGTACCTCACTGGTACATCAATGATTATTACCACATACTTGAGTTGGTACAGATGTAAGACTTTCAAGAGGTGTCTTTAAATAAAGTACATTATAAAACATGGTTTTCTAAAGGTATTCCTTAAGTTAAGTTAATTCTATAAACTGAAGAGCATAATTGCATATGCAAACACATACAATTGACATATTGCTCTATCTATCCAATCGCATTTCATGCCAATTAGACATGTCCGATGGTTGCACATTCAACTACATAATTACGGTTTTGAACACCTTGGAAAGTTTGGTGATCATGTGGTACCATAAAATGTACAGTAAGTACACAAATAGCAATAGTACAACATACATACATGGCACTTCGATAAAGAGAAAGTAGTACCAGATCATAATATTGGTGTACTACTGTATCTCTGGCACACAAGTATAAGAATTATACTGCAGGCCTCGAAAATGTATTTCCATTCCTGGCAGCAAAATCCAAAAGTATCCTGTGTAAGTCAAATATGAAACTTCCTGCATATGTGGATTTCAGAGAACGTATGGTGCCGCACATTGTGATCAATTTCAATCTTGGCACAAGACAATCTCGACTTGCAAAATACTTTTGAAATTTTTAAACAATAAGTAAGTTACCAGTCTGGAAAGTTTGCAACGCGCAGCCGAGATCTCGGGTGTACAGTTTTGATGTTCCCAATGTACCGGCCGGTACTTACTATTAAATTTTCGTAATCTCAGTCGTGCAATTTCAAAACTTTCCAGTCTGGGCAAGTTATGTGGCATTGCAGTGTATAAGATGAGAAAATTTCCTTCCAAGACATTTTAACAAAATATCTTTGCCAGTAATGCTGCTGGACATATTTTCCCAGGGCAGTTCCTAGACACAACAATTGGGTATATTCATATATTCATGTTTACATACCGAAAAACAATCGCTTTCAAAGAAATCCTTCAGCCAGAACACGATATGAATATACACCCCAATTATCGCACTAGGAACAGCCCTGCATTTTCCAGCACTGTTATACCCTGCCAAGTGGTCATAATTATATTGCTCAATTTTTAACAATTTATTAAACCTGGCATTCCAAGGCCAATTAGCATGTTATTAAACAAATATGAGATCAAAACTGATATCACATATAAATTCCTTCCAAATAGGCAATATGTCCCACACAGAACTGACATGAACTGTAAACAACAGCTGAGAGATAATCAAAGTTGACATTTCAAGAAAACATGAAAAAAACTTTCAAATACTGAAATACCTGTGCTTCTTTTGATAATGTTGTATACTGCTCATGAAGGGCAAGGAATTTATCTTCTTGCTCTATTTTAGCGGCCTTTTCTTTCTTCAATTCAGGACTCCAAAATGTCTTGATACTTTTCATGTTCGATTTGAGTCTGCTTTCCATTGCTTGCATTTCTTTCTTAAGTTCTGCATTTTCTTGAGTTAATTTTACAACATCAACAGAACTGAGGCTAGCTGCGTCATCTAACGCATCTATGTTGATTCTATCTTGATCGATTTTACGCGCAGCGCTTGGAAAATTGTCAAAATCTTCCATTGTGATAGCTCGCGCTTCTTCCTGTTTTTGGTGAAGGAAGTCAACGCACGTTATTGTGACAACTGACACATATAAAAACGTTTTTCTCGTATATTAATAAAATGTGCTCGACAGAATCTCGTCTGGGATGTGCGATGTTAAAAACTTCAATGAAATACGATACTTTGCACCTTTCAATAGATTTCCTCACTTTTCAAACTGCTGAACAAATAAACAACGGAGCATTAAACACCAAGAAATCGTCTGTATCGTGATATAGCAAGCAGTCAAAGCATTTGTATTTCATACTAAACCATTTCAATACACAGATACGTTCCCCATTACACTGGTATGAAAATTATTGATAAAAATCGACGCTCGCCTCAGGTAATATGAAACCACTTTAATCAAAGCCCAATGCCTGTTCAGGAAGTCAGATAAATCGTCACTGATAACAAATTTGGTAACCCTGTCATCATTCCCAGAATATAACGACTTGATAAAACATTACTCGGTTATATTCCATACGATTTTAGCCAAAATTTCACATGGTTAAGCAAACAATAGGTATCATTTTTATAATACAAAATTCAAACCAATTCTGAAACTTTGTTATAAACACGCGATTTGTTTACAAGATGAAAGAATGGCGCCGAATTACAAACGAGCATGCCGGTACTCAAGTCAGCACACGACTGCTGCGAGATACTTTATGTCACTCGCTACTATTATCATCACCGAGTCCAAACTCCAAATATCGTAACATCAAAGATATTACGTCTGTACCTCTGCGTCTTGGACCTTTACGTCTGTCTGTACCAATGGACCTTGCACTACAAGATAACAACTACATTCCTTCAGTATTTCAAGGAAACGTGTATTACTGTTAGTCTTTCTAATATTTTTATTTTAGAATACATAATCATAGAAATAATACATTCCAATTGAATCATATATAGAAATAATAGATATTTCATAGAAATATATCTATTATTTATATCGTTCCAACCCTGGGGGTTTTACAAGAAAGGCTGGCTCCTAGCCATGTTTCTGTGGTAATGAGCCAAATGACAGACAGCTCAGTATTACAATGCATTACTATATTTTCCGTAAAATGGTAGCCTAGCTGTGCGCAGTTTCATTACATCTAAACGGAAATTGAAGCACATGGTAGAGACAGAGAATGATACTGAAAAATCAAATGCTCACTTTTTAGTCGATAGACTCCGTACTCAGTCTTTTCCACCATGCCTATTAAAGACATTAAAAATACCGTTCTTTTTTCCAGAAACGTCATAATACCACCTTTAATTAAACTTAGTTATACACACTTAACTTGTGCCACCCATGACCCACAGGCCATAATAGCTCAGTGGTACCATAGGTGGTACCATCCAATCACGTATTTAGAATGTTCCATTGTCCTGTGGAAAGCGCTGTCCGACCTACGTACAAAGTTAGTCTATTGCAAAGTTGTGTCAGGGCTAGCCTCTGTAACGCAGGTGGTGATTTGCTCCCCTAGTCGTCTCGGAGGAGGGAATCTGTGCTACGGAGGCTAGGTCAGGGTTGAAGCTGCAAACACTACAATTAAAACGGGTTCAAGTTTTGCATCAATCACTTTTAATTAATTTCCAGAAGTTTTATGCAGGCGCATGCGGAAGAGCCACAAAGGCTAAAATCCTTTCCTCCGCCTCCTTCCAAAGCGCCCAAAAAGTCCCATGAACGAAGTTGGTTTTAACTTACTTTAAACAAATTTTTAAAATAATGGATACAGATGTTGATTCGAACTGATTTTTTGAATAAATATTAAATAACACCATGTAAATAATCTATGTTTATGAATATATTAAAACTACAATTTTCCAACAAAGTTACAAGAATAACAGGACGTAGCATAACGACCAAAAAATACTTGACATATGCAATTAAGTTTACTCTACAACTTTTTCGGCATGGGGCACGACATGGCAATACTAATACAGTAAACCGTAACTCTGGAGTACTCGTGCTGGAAAAATATGATTCAGTATGAGTACTCGTGCTGGAAAAATATGATTTAGAGTATATGTGTCACTAACCCCAGTCACATATATATATATTGTCCTTTTTATTTTTCTCAGCTTCAATTATGCCTAATCATCTCGACATCTAACAGTTCCAATAGTTCAAAATATGATCACATTTATCCACAAACCTCTGCTAAGTGGTTGGTCATCACTGGATGACTGCATGCATATACCATAATGTCAATATAATTATGTCATCTAAAATATTTTCTTATATAAATCATGTTTGATGAATCACAACTTTTTATTTCTTGAAATAGAACCCCATATTCCACCTACGCTTTTCCCTTAGAAACCTCAGAATCCGTTCATATGCATTTGATGCCTACCCATTATAATCATATATAACATTGAAATTGTTTCAAGAAATCGACAACATTGCGATAATGTGCATAATCGTTAATACTCCTGCGGTTGTTCTACAGTTTATATGTAATCAATTCTCATGACTCAACTATAATCCATGCTTTCCACGCCGTTTACCACTTGTGGATGAGTAACATTGTAAACAGTTGTATGTTCTGGATTCAGAATGGCGGTGAACGGTTCATGAGTTAAGCTATCTGGTTCTTTTTTCAAATGAATTTTCGGATCATCCGTAGTCAACATGGCCACATCACGTGAGATCACCTTGACAACGGTTGTAGGTTTCACAACCTTTGTTGGTTTACGACCTCGTTTCTGTTTAACTTTCATTTTCTTCTTTATAACAACAGTTTCATCCAATTTGACGACTTTCTTATAAGGTATACACTTCCGGCATATCTTCAAGCGTACAATACCAGGCGTGAAGAGATGCTTAAACTTCTCTGGTGCAGTTTGTATATTACAACAGCTATATGATTTCTGGACATGATTATCACAGACTGCGCAGTTTATCCCACATGTTCGGATTTTCTCAGGCGTATCACCCGTTTTTTCGCTAGGAGCTTCTTTTTTGGCTTAAAAGAAAAGAAAAATTATATTTATTCCAGCCTAACTAAGGAATAACTTTATTTCCAGGGTTGGGGAGTGCAATTGCGGATAAAGTGGTTCGGTTGCCCGTAGGAGCCGCGTTTTCACTTAAAACGCCGGAATTACGCTCTTGTATTTTTGAGGCTGAAGACCCTCCTGACTCCCGAGTTGTTCTATGTTTAGTCACCACACTGATCACAGCCAACGCTCATCAACAACCTTCAGTTCAAGATTTAACCGATGAAGTACATTTCAAAATGCAAGTGGGTTTTTTTACCTAAAATTAACACACAGTCGCTTCTTAACTCACCAGCAGGTTTTTGTCCACGCTGCTTTATTCCTTTCTTGATACTGGGATTGCCAACTTTTCTAAGATCATCATATTTCTTGTTGGGTTTCCATGCACGTTTAGTATTCATCACCAGCTCATGACTGACTCCCTTGCGTGCGCCGAAACTCTCTCCAATCTTCTTCTCAGGAACATTTGTCGCCATAACATTTTTGGCGGCCACGTGATAGAGAGACTTTTCACTGCCTTCTGACTGAATGAAATCCATCTCGACGTTATCACCATTGCTCTGCTGGTTTCCTACCACATTTGCTGTTTCACCACCATGTACATCATTCTCGTTATTTCCAGCGATATTCCTGAGAAAATCCGTTGAATACAGATTCAGTTCTTTCAAGAACAAATTCTTTTGTATAGGATCATCCACTTGAAATCTTTGCAGCAAAGTCCTGCGTGGTGCTTGGGCTGAGCTATCGAGGAGAGGGGAGTAGGATTGCAGATCTAGCCAAGATGTGTCCCTGGAACTTTCACCATGTCTACGAACATCTTTTAACTGTTGCAAATCACGAACCACGAACTCGAAAGGTTTTGTTCTTCGATCGCTCGTCATACCGAGGGGTATTTTCATCTGCCGGATTTTATCAGAGTAGCGAACCAGATTAGATATGGCTACATTCTCCACGCAATTTTCTTTGGATGCGAGGCACTTACGACACACGCGGAGTTTCTGATAGTTGTCATCAAATGCTTGCCGAATGTATGCTGGGGCTGAAATCCTCGTCACACAGCGATAGCTTTTGAAATGTAGTAAACCACATACATCACACCTTGGCGAGATTTTTACAGGAACTACAATTTCATCTATGAAAAAAAACCAACGGTAACTAGACAGAAACTAAAATTCAATTAGAGTAAAAAGATTTAGTGATTTACACTTATAGAATACTGTAGTTCCATGTTAACCTGAACCATTTCCTTAGAACAAGACTCATTGTCAAATAAAGTTGTATGGGTGAAACAATACTCAATTCAAAAATGAACATTTTATCCTAGGTATTTTGCCCTGGAGTAGCCTGGAAGCGGTATCATGACAATAGGAAGAAAATTTGACGTATGGTACACTGAAGTGAATAAAAAATGTACCTGTACTGCTGTCTTTATCGTTACTGCTTTCTTCTTCACTTGCACTTTCAGATTCAACTGACTTGGTCCCGTCTGAATCTTCTCCAAAATCCCTGGTGATAGAGTAAATTTTTAAGCCAGGGGGTAGGCAAAAAAGATGATGGAGGGTTAAGCCGTTTTGAAGAGAAGTACATCCAGGTCAAGCTATGGGGGAAATTGCAGCCTGTTACTTCTAAGTTAAGAAGTCATTAAAGTCACACAGTGAAATGAATTCTCCAACAAATGGGTGTGCTCATGTGGGCGTGGTTACAAAACATATCTACAATTTATGTATTATAATATTTAATAATTTCTACTCCAGAGTCCAGACAGAATTTCCCAAGACTATTAGTAATGTCAGGGACAGGGGGGGGGATGTTGACCAATATTTGGTTGTCTCTGTTCACTTGACTTATCACGTACCATTCATCATAATCAATTAATTACCTTTTTCCCAGCAGATCAGTGTCTTGTTCTTGGTCAGTTATCTCATCACTTGTCAACTATAGAAATATTCATTGTGTAAATTAGATCAGTTTGCATGTCAATACTAATCAACATACTTTTTGTGCAAGCACGATTGGGTTTTATCAATTCAAAGAAGTTACAGTGGACTGTATTTTGGATTTCCATGAAAAGTGCAATTCACAATTAAACTTCTCTGTTTTTAGGTGTTTTCAGGGTAAAATTTCCAACAAATTCATATTTTGCATAACAGCGGTGGTCCCCACCGCGCACCACAATTTACACCTTTGTATCAGACAGTTCTATTCCATGGAGTGCAAGGTTACACCATTATGATAAGATACAGATTTTCCACGATTTAGCATGGCACATTCTTGCACAACCACAGTTGCTCCTGTCACACATTCTATAAATTCAGTGGCAAAGCCAGCCATAGGAACAGGTCATGCTATGCAAATTTTTAATGATTTGCATTATTCAAATCATTAGAAATTGTCTTTAACCTATTTAGATGCAGGTTTATTAGCAAAGCATGACTTGTTGCCATAGCTAGGTTCTCTACTGTTTAAATTATGGACATTATAAGTACTATATTGGTTGATGCTGACATACTCTAAGAGGCTGTATAATCCGTTAGTAAAACAAGCCCAGATTGACGATTAAACCATATACAGTAGCGATACAAAAGATCTTAAATGAAGTATATGTAGCATGTTTGATAGGTAGAACCGCTCAACACAATATATTCCCGCCAAAAACTTGATTATCAAAGATGGCGATTTAGAACAGGCTTCATTTAGCGTAATTTCAGGGACCGCGGAGCAGGGAGGAGGCCCCCAATAATTTTCCATACATATGTGAATTTTATAAACTAAGAATACTGAAATCTTTCAGATCAGTTAACAATATATTTATAACTTACATAGCCAAGTATATTAGATTAAGAGTTGTCTATTAAGAAACTTTCTAACAGCAACTGGTAAATTTGATTGCATTTCAGGGGCTCTGGGAGGTCTCAGATTTCAAAATTTCCTGGGGGAGCATGCCCCTGTATCATTATAACCCATTTATAGGGTAAAAATTAGCAAGTTTCAAAGTTTTCATTTATTTCATTAAATGAAACCTAACTGGGGGTTGACAAAACGTGGACCCCCCTTCTGGACCCCCCTTCTGGACCACATTCTGGATCCCATTCTGGATACCTTTCTGGACCACATTCTGGAAACCTTTCTGGACCTTTTAAGAACCAAAAGAAAACATGCAAATTAAGAAAACATTACATACGCAGCTGTAAGCAGTCCCTCCCCAACCCGCATTTGTTGAAGACATGGCTTATTCACAATAAATTGGAAGCCAATATTTGTTGACATTTTTTGCTGTAAATGCAGTGGCCAGGGGTAAATTGCTGATTTATAGCAACCCGACACTACATTGACAATGTCATTACACAGTATTCTACAAGGTCACAAAAACAACATGCAGTTTACTGAAAGTATACTTGTCCCTATTCAAAAGAAAATGAAACAAGAAAACCAGTGCAGTAAGGTATTTCTAATTGGAATAACTACAGTACGTTGCCCAGCAATGTTTAATGTACGAGATTATATAATATGTATCATTCGAAACATCACCATCCCCCAGGGCATTTGACTTCAAGGTTTCTCCTGTGAGTAGGGAATTGGACATTTTTAAGTAAGATGAAGTGCCTTCCTATGACGATTCGATTGCCGCTGACTGAAATGATTAGGACACTGAACAGGATTGAGGATTCAGAAAGTCGAAAAAAAGCAAAACGAATTTAATCGATCGTGATATTGAAATCCAAATAGTTGTGTCCTACCATCTGGCCTGTTGGTTTTTAAAAGGTCAAGAATGGGGTCAAGAATGGGGTCCAGATTGGGGTCCAGAAAGGGGGGTCCATGTTTTGTCAACCCCCAACCTAACTTAACTTTCATGCAACAGCTCTCAGCAAAATCGGACCACTTCTTTTTCAAATCCGGGCCCAGAAACGTAACAATGCAATGGAAAATATCTTGCCTTATTGAATTTATTATCAGAATAATTCTCAATATTGTTTCATGAAAGAGAAGCGATATCATGCCTTGTCCCTAGGTTTTGCCGTTTCGGTTTGCGAATTTGTTCAGTCTTTTCTTAGCCTAGAAGTTAGACAAGCCCAGGACACAATAAAGCATGCAAGCTTTTAGTACTCGTCTTTATATGAATACTATATTAATTTACAGTAAAAAGTCAACAAGGATACAAATCTCTACATTGCCGCAATGCCGAAGCTTTGCGTTGCTCGGTTTTACAAACGGGAAGTGTACTTTATGGAAGCTTGTCAATCACTTCATATGAATCAGTTATCAACCAATCAGAGCTCTGCGTCCAAATATTGGACGCATGCACGTAAAATATCATAGGGATCCTTGCAGGCTCTCTTTCACCCAGAGAGCCTGCTCGCAGGCTATTTAATGTTATGCACTGTTAATGCACCCAGATGCGCCCTACTTTGTTATTTTACTCTGTCTAACACCAGACGATTTTACTCATTAGCGGGAGAGTGCTGCCACTCAATGGGTTAAATTTCAAATTCTGATTAAATCCCTTCATTCTTTGAAAAACCCCAAGGTCCACACTTTGCCACCTGCAGCAAAGCTCCTAGACAATATGCATGTACCAGAGTAAAATTAATCTTTATATTCTGAGCACCATGTCAAAATGGTATGTAATGCATGGCCATAAATATCAATAACATTTACACAACAATAAATACCATTAAAGTTTCACTTTAATGGGTATTTCAAAGTTTGCCTCTTATCAATAGACAATAGTATCAATAACCTATGCTGTAATGTCTATTGGGCAATATTTAATTCTAAAAAAACTAGCTTTCATAATTTACAAGAAACAGAGTTCTTTTTAATATAATAGATGCAAAAGTTGAGCTGTAACGGGCAGGCATTTTATCTTATATTTTCATTAATAATATTTCTACCCATTTCTCCCAAACTAACAGGAAAGACTACGCTTTATCTCGCCATTTCCTACGAGCCCACAAAAATCAAGTTAATCGTATTCGTATCAACATACGTGCGCTACAGCAGTGTATTTATCAGGATATATATTTGAACGAATACCAGGCGAATATTTCGAATAAAAATACTTAGAATTATGTTAAAGTTTTGTTCCAGCGTATTTGCTATATATACATGCAGGTTCAGAACGCGTGTGGCTTCGACTTGAAGCCAATCAAATTTACATACACAAGAGGTGATTATAATTTCTTGCCAATGTCTATTTTGCATACGGTGTCAGAATATTTGAATAAATTGTAAGTATAACCAACGCCGCTTTTCGCTTTGCCTCGCGAAAATTTGACCACGTACAAAGTAAATTACCACAGTTTAAAGATCTTTAAATGCCCCCAAGTCACCTGAGAAATAGTACAAACAATAAAACAAAGTAAAAACGCAATACCTAAGTAGAAATCTTGCTTTAGACCGCACTATCTTGAGACTGCGCCACAACTATCGCCACGCTATACAACTGAGCTGAGAGCCAAGAGTATAAAATATGATCCAAGAACTACAAGTCACGTCTTAAACACAAGATCTTTCGCGCGGTTTGAAATTGTACACGGATATTGTAAAATTATCTCGAATATCATATTACGTCTCTAAGGAAAGCTTCTCACAGTTCGTGCCAAGACAAACGCATATCGCTTGGGTAAATTTTGAAGGATATTTAACGTTATTTTAAATAGCGGCTGCGCCAGTCTCCGTGCTAAAGCGACACTGAATACACAATGTTTTCACTTGCGAAATCATTTCTAGCTTACCAAAGTCATTTCTGGTGAAACAGCACGTCCTGACGTTGTTTCTTCACTGATGTGCTCAATTATAGTTTCAAGATGGAATCTAAAACATAAGAAAGAAATTCCTGTGTTGGTCAAGCGAGCGGCGCGGTCATGTTGAGTTCGCTTCGAATATACATTTCAAAGCAAGTCGTATTTACACTTCATTTAACCTACCGTTTTCGCTCAGTTTCCGTGGCCATTTTATCAAAGTTCTACTGTACTTTTTTGGAAAAACGCGGCAGGAATACCGAGTGTAAAATGCGAAATACAATGTACGTGTTTAACACAGCCGCGGAGAAAGATTTCGCTACTTGCCAGCTACGCTTCAACAAGCAATAAATTTACATATTTCTACCCACAAGACTTTGCAGAGGCAGCACAGGCGGCTTTATACAACGTGTGTGCATTTGTATGGCAACTACCGCAATAAATACTCTTTTACTTTTCTCTATCCGGCTTTCGCATTCATTTTCTTGTTTCTGCAAACAATTGCGAAATTGTTCTTGAAAATATTGACAGGAATGTAAATTTATATAAAAATTTCGGATGTTTGAGTGGGGTAAAGTGTAAATAATAGTACGCGGCAATCCACAAAACGCGCAATCTGTCTAGTTGGACCTGATGACTCAGTGCTCGCAGTCGCAGCAGTGCAATTTTTGGCCCTATATCGATAGAAAGATGTGGTTTTCTCTGACAGTGTATTGCTATGCAAAGCACAACGTAAAACTGTAACCTGGCGTATTACCGATAATATCGATCGGTTGGCCTTCACGGCATTAGTAGAAAGAACTCTATAAAGTCAACTTCCGGAACACGGGAACACGGCGGAATGACTCTGAATGAAAGACATGTAGGAAAAAGGTTCCGGGCGATGACGTTAAGGTCTAAATGGTCCTGCCTACACAGTGTTCATATAAATCATGGAGATCAGGAACTGGCTTTCAAGCATATATCAAATTTAACTTATGGATTGCGCACAGTAGAAAATTAAGGCTGCTCTATTATGAATTTATGTAAACTTTATTAAAATTAGTACGAACATTTGCCCATTGATAAAAGCATAAAAAGTGACAAGACCGACGTGGTTTGGGCTCATCTGAACATAGCAGCTATGTTCAGATCACAGTTTATTTCAGACGAAATTGAAACATGCGTTTTTTTTCAATTTCTCGAGGATGCGACTCTCGCTTGTGTTGATCGCCAACCCTGACGAACTCATGCACTCAAATTTTGATGAGAGTTGCGCGCGGTCATCAAGTCGCATGCACTCTTGTTCACGTTTGACCGGGGCACAAGGAATCGAGAATAAGAGTTGGCAGTCACGGGACCTTGCCCTTGGTTAGCTATTCTTATTATTGCTTTCCCAACACTATATCATGGACCTTTATTTTGTTAATCTATAGAGCTTGAAATGTCCCCGTAAATGCATGACTGCCAACTCTCATCCTCGTTTACCCGCGGGGCTTTAGAAACTCACAAACTCTTGCTTGCCAATCCATCAAGGCATCAGTCTCAGTTCTGTGGTCTCTTCATGACTCTCATCCGTCGTTTGACCACGGTTAATATTTGACCAGGGTCAGTGTGACCAGATTTCCCAGCAGTTATTATTACTAAACTTTATGTTCAAAATTTACTGATTATCCAAATTAATCTCGCCCCCATTCTGGTTACACACCACATACACAACGATAACGATACGATAAACTTGTATACGCGCGCTGATGGTCAAAAAATGTATCGTTATCGTCCGACTGAAAAAAAATCGCTCGGGTGAGCGATATAGTCCAGGAGGAGAAGGGGGGGTATCGTAACCCGAGCAGGGAATTTATGAGAATATGTGACTTTGGTCAATTTTGAGGCGCTGATTTCAAAAATCGACGTTACACAGCAAAATACCAAGGCCTCGTTTTGGTGCATGCAGCCTCGTTTTGGTGCAAATAGAGGAAAATCATTAGTTAGCTTAGATAGGAAAGTCGTTGGTGATCTTGGTCAATTTCGGTGCGCTGATTTAAAAAATCGATGTTACACAGCAAAATACCGAGGCCTTCAGCCTCGTTTTGGTGCGTACAGCCTCGTTTTGGTGCCTACATATGTGCATTAGATAGCCAAGGAAGTTGGTGATTTTGCTCAATTTCGGTGCGCTAATTTCAAAAATCGAAGTTATATGCGCAGATATATTGGAACCTCTAGCCTCTGTTTGATACGCATATCCTTGATTTAG